CCCGTTTTTGTAGTTGTCGATATAGCTCTCCAGAAAAGTGAGGCGAGCGCCCTTTGCCCAGTTACGCTTCAAAACACGCAAAAGGGGCTCTCTGTCGACCCTGAATGTTTGATATCAGATCACAACATCACATCAGTCGATTTTAGATTTTAAACTCACACTTCAACTTCAACATCGCCAACATTATTGTCCATCTTGGTTTCTGGGGCGGAGAGCGTTTGGGCAACAATGGGTACGTGTTTACACCACTCTGGGTCTACGCAAGCTCCTTACCTACTATTACGTCTTATTACATCTGTGAGAAGGCTTCTCGTCCTAGATAAAGGTGCGTTCAACAGCAAATTCGTCCCCCCATCCGCTTTTCCCTCACCTTTCACGCCAGAACATTTTCAATGGCTAATTTACCCAATGCTGGAGCACCCGCTGGTTCCCCATCATCGGCGGACAGTAAGTATCAAACATCCCTCTTCCGAATTACTTCCCACTGATGGTGATGGGCTCTCAGACCTTGAAAATCTTCTTGCTCGTCTTTCTATCACCCCAGAGGGCGCACGAGAAATCGTTCGTGCCCTGGTGGCTTACGCCAACCTCGACTCGACCCAGTCCCTCACAACCACCACAACCACCTCTTCTGACTCCATCATCGCCGCTTCTCCCACTGTTGCCACTGGCGCAGAAACATCTGGCCCCACTGATGACAACGCGGACGACGATCAACTCTCGGACACCAGTACCACCTCCCTGATTTCACTCTCTGATCTCGATAGCATCGGCCACCTCACTGCCGCCAGTTCCGCCACTTTGGTTGCCGCTTCCCTGCACAATGTCGCTCCCCTCACAACCGATGGGCTCAATACTGCAGCTCCCGCCGCCAATGCTGCAGGAGCCCAAACGGCTGTCACCGCTGGAGCCACGTCTGTGGCAGCCGCTCCTGTCGTCGCTCCCACAGCTGTCAACGTGGCCCTTCCGCTCTATGGCGTCCTCCCGGTGAATGCCCCAGCCAATGCCGTCTTGCCTCCCGCACACCTCCTTGCCTTGCCGTACAGATATCATGTCCCAGCTGCAAATGCCGAGGGCCCATTCTACGTCGTCACTCGAGGCCGCAACATTGGTGTATTCAATGGCTGGTATGTTATTTCTTCTGTTCCAACTTTACTATATTAACCACCATCTACGATACAGGGAAAACACATCTCCTCTCGTCACCGGTGTTTCTCATGCCGTCTTCAGTCGGGTTGCCAGTATGACCGAAGGCCACGCTAGGATGAACATGGCGATTACCTCTACTTTTGCATTGTACCTCACTTAGTAGCACAGTCAATATCGTGTATATGTTTTCGCTGTATAAAAATAAAAAGCATTGGCAATAACTCTAGGAGAACAACCGAAAGACTCGAATGCGAATGCACACACAAGTTCAGATATTTAGTAGTGGCAGCCACCCCAATCCACATATGGATCATCTCCAAACTTCGAAACATTTGTCAAACATTACAGTGAGGCACCAATACCCGTCTTACCCTTAGATATTTCAGTCGGACCCTTGCCACTTCAGTCACCCAATGACAACTGACTGTTAGTCTTGCAAACTCCATGAATACTACAAGACTAAATGTCAGGGTGTATATCTATAGTGTATATATTCTGGGCTTGTATATCTCCACTTTTACCTAAATATATTTCGTTGTTCAATGTCACACTAAATATATTTCTAGTGTGTCACACACCCCAAAATATATTTCCTCACTGGAATGGACTCCAAATATATTTCTTATGCCTGGACCCTGAATTGTGACTGTCACAATGT